CTCGATTGGAAGTGGTAAGAATGCCCACCATGGAACAAACTTAGTCCTCAGCTTAGGATTTTGTATGGCTGAGGTCACTCCCCTCTAAGTCCTCAAAGGGCAACCTCGATACTACCGAGTCCGCCACCAGTTATTGATTCCTGCACAAATGAATGCCTTTGAGAACCGGAGAACTTGACATCTTTCCTAACTCCACAGGTGAACCGCTACCTTGGGAGAAGGTACAACGGAAACTCACGCTGGTGGGCCTAAGTGAACATCTGGAGAAGCAAGACCTTCATCCTTGAGCTGAATCCTCAGAGTTCAATGTCTGCCTGGCTGGACTTCAAGGCATTTCTGAAATCACCTACCCAGATGAAGAGTTTACAGGACTATAACGTCGGCTTTGTTATTACCAACATTGTTCGGCGGGAAGGTATAGGTGAGGTAATTCCACGGTGCCCTAGACAACAGTGACTGAGCCCCATTTCCTGAAAAGATGACGCAGTGGCAATGGTGGACTCAGAGAAAACAAATACTTCGCAGACTCAAGGGCTATATTCAAAAGCAGCCTTACTTCCTTGTTAAAAAAACAAAATATTTCCTTTGTCTTTGACTAAATCTTAATTTGTCTGAGATGGCTGTCAAAATTCTTGAAATGAACTTGTGCTCATGCCTCACAGTCACTCAGACTTACCCATGGCTGAAGTGACCCACCGTCTTGGCAGCCCTACCTTGGATCCCCGTCTTCTGGGTCTAGACACGGCTTGCCAACACCCTCTTTCAGCAAAACCGTTCATGCTGAATGGGAAACTCTGGATAGTTGGCAACACCACTGTAAGTTTTAGACTGGCATAACTTGATTCAGAAAAAAAAATGTTTTTCATTGAATTGAATTTAAACGGTTCATCAACAGGGAACTACAGCTTGATGGGTCAATCCTTTAGGAAGAATTTAAGATGTTTGTAATAAAGTTATTCTTCAAGTTCCATGAATGTACAATACCAAGCATTAATTTTTATTAAAGCAGAAGCCAATCTTCTGAAGAAAATCTTCAAGAGATGCTGCAAGGGTAAGATAGTCACAACAGCGGCATGGGTGAAACAACCCATATATTCTTAAGGGGGCAAAAATCAAGATGAAGGAGGCTACATGATACTATGCAGCTTGTAGAATATTGCTTATAGAGTGATGATGCTGAGTTCTACCACACTTTCCAAGTATTTAAACCTAGCATTTCTGCCTGATACGAGATTAATTATAGGAGGGATACTGAGAGACAACCACCAGAAGGACCAGCATGTTGGGAATATCCTTAGTCACAGAACTCCTGAGTCCAGTCCTTTCAGTTGCAATACTTATCAAGTAGCACATACACCAGCCCTGTCAGTGGTCATTTTCCAATCACAGTAATAAAGCCAGAACTCTAAAACTGGGGTCGGGGGTGGGGGTGGGGCGGGGAGCTCTGTTATTCAAGCTTATTGAAACACTCCACTCATTAGTTCAGCTTCCGGAGTTGAAATGCCTGAAGGGACGTGGGGCCACAATGCACCTCTGAAATTGAAAAAAAAACCAACTGTGACTTCTATCTATATGCAGTATTCCATTGAACTCTCCTTGGGCAATTAGTCCAC